GTCTTCTCCCCACACACAGAGGCAATAACTTACTTTTTTTATTAGTGTTATTTCTAGGGCCTAGCCAAAATATAATAAAATCTGTAGAGTTTGTGGGAAGATGAATAAAAAGATTGATACATTAATATCTAGGAAGAAAGACTTGTTTTTCCTAGTAGGTGAGATAAAGCTGGGAGCATTAGAAATACCACAAGGAGGCACTAGAATTCCACAAGGGCTCCCTCTGCCAACAAAAGCAGATGCAAAGTAGTGTCTTGACCTGGGTCAGTGCCTTTTAACTGATGTCTGGCAGAGCCAAACAAGCCTGGAGAGATCATTTTAAATGACAATGGAAGAAATTACTGCCAGGAGGCTACAGTGCTGCTCCGGGTAAGAGATGGATGTTCGCTTTAAAGGAACTCCAACAAAAGAAATCCCCCCCAGATTTGGACAACAACCCACCCCTGCCCCAGGGGAGCTGTATCCAAACAATAGCATATTGTTCCCTCACTCCAGTTTCCCTCCTCTGCTAATTAAGGAAAATACTCAGACTCATAATTTAAGGATCTCGTTCTACTGCCTCAGTATTTGCCTCACTGAATTTTCTTTTCCTCATTCACTAATAGAGCTGTCACAAATATTACCATTTTCCCCTTTTTCTTCCCAAGATATCGGTGAAGTGTTCACCCCAGACCTTTGAGCCCTAGCTTTCTGTGTGGGCGGGCAAGAAAGGAAAAAGAAAATCCTTTGAAATTTCAAATATATATATATGTGTGTGTGTGTGTGTGTGTGTGTGTGTGTGTGTGTGTGTGTATATTTATATAAAACTCCTGTGAGGGACTGGGAAATGTAACCATGGAAACCACAGCATGCCTGTAACCATAGAGACCCATTTAAACCAGCTGGGCCATAACATCTAGATGCTGGTAGCACTGTGGCTGTGAGAAGGACAGTTAATGGAGCCAAGTGATTTCAACTGTTCAGGTGAGAGTTTAGCAGATGTTTAAGTCATTTCTGGATCCTGCTCATACTTCAAACAGTTAGAGAAAAAGCCTTTTGATAGGATGGCCTCTGTTAAGATTAATTTCTAAACAATCCCCCAAATTTCTCTCCTTTGTGAGCCATCACTTTTTAGTCATTCATTCAGCAAACACATGCTTATCACTCTGGTGTGCTAAGCAATTTGTTGAATTCTACCATATATGTACTCCCCATAATTACAATTTATATCCCATCAGCTTTAATGCTGAGGCAAATCTTGAAGTAAGGGTCTATTTGTCAAAGATTTATTTACCAGAATCCATAAGAATTTGACTTTGTGTTTCCAGTGACAGGTGAAATAATCTTAGTTTCGTTTTGAAGGGACCGGCCTCCACTGGCCAATGGCAGACAAGTGTTTCTCAGAGGTGTTTCACAAAGCCCCATCATCCTACTCTTTGAGTTGCTTTTGTTCTTTCCAAGTTCTTGTTACTGAAGAACATTATCATGATGCACCCTGTTCTTAAAACTGCCATTCCCGGGGAAACTTTTACCCCCCCCCCCCCCGGGTGGAACCTGCATTCTTGTGCATCCTGTATAGATAATATGTAGGATGCCAATCGCAGTGGCCAAAAGGCAACCTCACCATATTTAGGAATCCATGTAAAGGTCAGCCCAGCCAATCACTAGCTACCACTTCGTCCCAAGGCCTGCTTGCCAAAAAGGGACTGTATAATCTGCTCTTCCCTTTGTTCTGGGCCCTTCCTGCCACCCAGGTGCCTCTGGTGAGCAGTTAAGCCCAAACTCAAGTTTGCAATAAAGTCTCCTCTTGTCTTTACAGCGGTGTGGCTGGCTTTTTCTGGGTAGTGCATCCCATTCTGGCATAACAGTTACAACCCCGTCATCACCCTTACAACTACAGCTTCAAAGATCTTGGTGACAGGTGGGTTTGTGAACTCCTTTGTAGTGTGTTTGTACACAGTGTGTTTAAAAGGCAGGGTGTTAGTGTAAAATCACTGGAGCCTGCCAAGTGATTAAATGACCTCAAGTTCCTTACATATAAAAGGGGAATGATACAATTCTTTGGGTTGGACAGTGATGATTTCACATGACTGCTGCTCTGAAGTTTTTACTGGTTTTATCTGTATCCCTTAGTTTTGCTCTATACTCTTTCATGTTCTTGTCCATTCTCTTACTTTACTCAACAACAGGTCCAAATCTTTATGGTTTCAACCATGTAGCCAAAATTCTCAAGGGAGATGATGATAACAAATGTTGTTACTCAATGATTACTAAACACCAGAAACTGGTCTAAGCCAGTCAGGTATTCTCCCTCATTTAATCCTTACAACTATCCATTGAGGATTTTAGAGAGAAAACAAGCATGTGGCATGTAGGCTAGTAACAGACAGAAAGAGTAAGTGAACCCAGCAGTGCCTTCAGTAACTCTCTGCTATTTTGTGCAACAGTCACGATCTCTGTGACTCTATACAGTCTACCAGTATGGGCTACGGGTATGTCTTCTCTTCAACCCTAACTCACCACTATAGACCAATCTCTTCATCAGCACCTGTTCCAAATGCCTTCCTTATATTTACAGGAAAAGACCAACCTTTCTCCAGTCCCCACGATGCACCACCACTTCCAATTCCCCCTTCTCTTCAAGTTCCCTCAATCATTCACTTTCTCCCCTATCTTTAATCCTTTTCATCTGTCACCTTCCTTTCAGTATATGGCCAGGTACAGGTCCAAGGCCACCCTACCTCACCTTAAATAAGTAAAATCACTGACTGTCCCTAATTGCCACCCATCTGCCAGTTTCCTGACTCATCACCACACTGCAGTTCCTTTCCTGGGACACCCCTCTCAAAGTTGCCTAAATAAATTACTTTTTAAGGTTGTGATCTCACTCTGCTCTGTAGAATTTATTTCTATTGGTCATTTTCATTTTGACATGAACTTTTTTGTTTTCAGCTCTCTGTCTTCCCCCCCCCCCTCCTTGGTTGACTCCTCCCTCACTGCCTAATCCTTAGATTTGGGTGTCCCTTGGGATCCTTAACCTGCTTCTGCTCTCTCTGGGGACTATCAATGTCTTCTGAGTTTCAGAACAATAAATAAAAGTGACAATAAATTTGACCTGAAAGATCTTGGGTTCCTCATGCTCAATTTGTTACCTCCATCCACTAAGTAGCCCAAGTCTCCAAAGCAGAAGTCATCTTGCAGTCCTTCCCTCTTACCTGCGTCACCAGGACCTCTACAGGTACATCTTAACTCTCTCTTCTGTCTGCTCCTCATCATGTCTCCTCCAAACAGCTTTAACCAAAGCTTGCATCATTAAAGTCACCTCATCTCCAGTCTTTCCCAAACTTAAGCCTCAACTGTATGTATCCACAATATAGGTTATCACTGGGCCTTTCTAATATGTAAATTAATCTGTTGCTCAAAATTCTGCAAAGATCCTCAATGCCAATATAAAGCAAACTAATCCCACTGTATAATAAGAAAACCCCTTAATGACTTGAGTCCTGCCTCTTCTTCCATCTGCATCATTTGCCTCTCTACCTCTCTAACCATTGCCTTCCATCAGCTCCATGGCTCAACTTTGGATTGGATGCAATGACACTAAACCTTTTGCTCGCTTTCTTGCCAGCAAATCCACCCCTTCTCTCTGGAACTCAGTCCCCAGTTCCATCAGGAAGACTCCTCAGTTGCGTTCTCCACTTCCTCTTGTTACTGCCCATCCTTTTACCTATCCCCTCACAGGCCAGCTTCCCTTGTGCTTCCCCACAGTTCCTTCCAACAGTTACCTTTTGTACTATGATTGTTTGACTGGCTCACTTCTCTTCCTAGACTTATATTTCCTTAAAGGCAAGAAGTATTCATGTTTAGAATTTGCATGGTTGTCCTTCTAGTTTTCTGAAAAAATTTCTTTATGAAAGCAAATATTTACTAAATATCAGATATTAACATTGTTATCAAGAAGATGGCAGAGACATTCCCTTCTCAGCTCAAACTTTCCAGTACTATCACTACCATCAAAACTAGAAAGCATACACCAAATGCTGTTAATAACTGAAGAGGGGATAGAGCCAGAGAGTGTGTTAGTAGAGTTACACATGTATTACATAAACCCACTGGCATATGGACATCACCAATTCACACACCAGGTGAAGGGTGTGAATATAAGTCTGTGGTCCCTTTAAAGGCTGACTGTTGGACCAAAATATCCCATCAAAACCACCATATGAAAACATAAACTCAAAAGGACACATACAGCACTATTTACAATAGGAAAAACCTGGAAACAACCCAAATGCCCAAAATTAGATGGTTGATCAAGAAGTGGTATTATACACACAATGGAACACCAGTCAGCAATCAAAAAAGATAAACTCATGCCATTTGCAGCAACATGGATGAGCTGTAAGGGATTATGCTCAGTGAAATAAGTCAGAAGGAAAAAGAAAAATGTCGAATGGTTTCATTTATAGAAGGAATATAAGAGAACCAAAACAGCCATAGAGGAAAAAACTGTATGGTTATTACAATACAAAAAACCAACACAACAAAACAAAAACAGACAGTTATAAATCAGAGATATCCTACAGGGGCGGGGGACAGAGAGGGACCAGAAGGAGGGAGGAATGTGGGGGACTGTGGTGATTATGCTCAGACAGAGTGGGGGAGGGGGAGTAAACATTGTTTTAAAATGAACAATAATGTAAATAGAATATGAATTAAGAAAAAAATCAGAGAAAAAAACCCCACCATATAAGTGCTTATCTGTGTAAGCTATTGCACAACAGCTGTGTAAGCTATTTAGTGTTGTTATGAGTAGACAAGAATAAACATTTACCAGTATTTAGAGCAAAGAGATACATAATTAAATGCCATTTAGATGCGATACTGGGGTAGTTAAATAGGAGGACACAAATGAGAGTACTCATTCATTTGCACAGCTTTTGTTAAGGACCAGCTCTTTCCCAGGCTCTTGGATCGGGAGTTGGAACATGACAATGAAACTATGTGATTTTTGCTCACAGGGTACTCATGGCCTGGCAAGGCACACAGACTGAAGCCATCAAATGCAAAGGGCTGGGATTCATTTTACATAGAGAGGTAACCGAGATAGGAGCAGAATCTCAGAATATTTACAAGTTGTGGTATTTTGTCTGGCTCTGGAGAAGCTTATGGGTTTTTTCAAATGGAGAAGAAAGAGTTCAACACTAAGGGAACAGAATGAACAGATGCAGACAGTCTTGGAAAATGAAGCACCTTGGAAACCATTGATTTTTCTCCCAAGCACATGCAGCAACAGCTGAGCTACTTGCTCAGAACTCCACAGAGCATTTAGAAGGTAAGTGGTGAAGTGTGCATGGCTCGAAGGAGTGCTCCTGTGTGACTGGGGCACATGATGGTGATTAGGGAGAAGGAAATATAACAGGGACACAAAAAATTAAATCATTACTTGGCTATGCAGAAGGAAAAAATTTTTTAATTTACTCAATTGCTGATATAACCTTTCTTTCTGCCATGAACAGACGTAACTAAACACCTAGCACAATACATTGACAGTGAGCCTTGTGTCACTCAGCTAGCTCCTCTTGCCCTATGCTTCTCTTTCCAAAGGGATGTTGAGGATTATGGTATTTACAATCTCACAATGGCCGGGAAGAGTTACAAACTTTAAGAGCTGGGACAGCATCACTTTGCCTCCAGGGAGCTACCTTCCATGTTGGTATTTGAGAATGAAAGTTCCATGGAGATTCTTAGGGCCCTCTCTGGTGGCCTAGGTGTTAAGTCTCAGTGCTATCACCACTACCACTTGAGTCTGATCCCTGGCCAGGGCGCTAACACACACATGGTGCAGCAGACCTCTCCTGTCCCACCTGCTGCTCCTTAGCAGCATTTCAGTAAATGCACTCCCCATGCTGTTCTGCACACCACTCTGACTCTGGTGAATCCTCTCATGCCCCTGCATCTCTGACCTACACCCAGTTCTTCTACAAATAATCAATAAAATCTTTTAAAAGAAAAGAAACTTTCATGGAGATTCTAGTCTGTTGTAACCAGCCCCAGCACAGAGTTACTCCAAAGACTGTGAGCCTTCATTGAGTCCCCACAGCTCTGAGGTCTGTTTGTGACTTCTCATCACCCAGGACTGGGTGCTATTCCCTGAGTAGGTCTTTGCTGTAGAATTACTTCTTCTCTACTGTATAAAGCTACATTCTAGATTTTATCTGTGCCAAAGTGGAGTTGAGGTAAATTTAGAACAGCTAAGTCTCAGAAACATCCTCTGACTAACCAAGATAAATGATTGCATTCATAGTGGTTCAAAATATTTTAAAGCCCTCAAAGAGATATCTGCTTTCCTATGCTCATAACTGCATTCACATTTGCCCAGGGGTGGAAGCAACTCAAGTGTCCATCAACAAATGAGTGAATAAACCAAATGTGTTACCCTGTATACATGCAGTGACACATTACTCAGTCTTCATAAGGAAAGAAATCCTGTTACAAACTCCAGTGTAAATAGACTTTGAGAGCTTTATGCTGAGTGAAATAAACCAGAGAAAGACAAATGCTGCATGATACCACTTGTATGTAGAATCTAAAAAAGCTAAAACCATAGAAACAGAGATTAGAATGGTGGTTACCAGGAGCTGGAGGCAGGGAGGAAAAGGAGAGCTTTATTTAGTATTCCAGATTTGCAAAATTAATTAACAGATCTGGAGATCTATTTTACAATAATTTGAATGTATTTAATATGACAGACTGGATTTAAACATTTCAGATGCAAAATTCATGTATGTGATTTTTTTTTACCATATTTCAGCGAGTAGAGGACACTGGTCCTTATGAACTCCATCAGGAAATCGGAACCGGCTGGAAACTCCCAGAATGGCTCTAAGAGTGCAGAACTGGCCCCAAGTGTCCTCTAAGGACCCTGTCCTCACCAATGTAGCTATCTTCCATCTCTTCAGGCATATATCTGCCACTCTGTTCTCCTTTCTCATATTCTCTCTACAATTCCTAATGCCTGAAAAGTCTTTTGTTTCACTTATCATTCATAGTTTTTAAGGAACAGAATTGACTAATAGAGTTAAGGAGTGAAGGACTTCATCAGAAGCATACTGGGGTGCTATCTCACCTGCTGCTCCCCTAAGCAGTGTATTCCAGTCAATCTGCCTGTTCTGTTCCCCAGTCTGTCTCTGGTGAATCCTCTCACCCCTGTACCTCCGGCCTATACCCAGTTCTTGTATGTAAAAATAAATAAGTTTTTAAAAGAAAGAAACATGTTGGATAGTTTGCCAGGTCAGAACCAGGCACTGAGGCTCCACAGCCAGAAGTAACGCTTCAATAAGGCCTTAGAAACACTGCTGTTACTATGGACAGTGGCCCCCAGTTTCCTCCAACACACTGGATACTAGGTGCTGCCAAGGTCACTGTTATCATTCATCACCAGAATAGACTCTTCACTGCATTTGCTTCTTCCAAATACCAGCTTTCTAGTCAAAGTTAGGTATCTGACCAGAATATACCATTTATTTTCAAGGAAGACTGGAAAAGCAAGTATCTCTTTGAATCTATCATGCGTGCAGTCTATACTCAAAGAAAGAAACGGGCTTACAGTTTGGAAGGAAATCATGACCAGTGATCTATATTTCCCTCACTTTTTTCCCCCTTACCAAGAGTTGTACTTGCCTAGTTTTCTGACCCCAAGGTAGGAACAGAAGGTCTAGCAAATAAAATTATAAGATGTCCAGATAAATGTGAAGCCTAGATAGAGCAAAAAAAAATTTTAGTATTTATATTGGACCCTCCCTGGTAGCTCAAGGGGTTAAAGCATAGCACTATGAAGCTATCCACAACCACACTGCAGCACGATTTTGATCCCCCAGCCAGAGGGGTGACCCACATGGCACAGCAGACATCTCCTGCCTCACTGCTACTCCCCTCAGCAGTGTTATTTCAGTCAGTCCACCTGTTCTGCTCCCCACTCTGTCTCTGGTGAATCTTCTCACCCCCTGCACCTCTGGTTTTTACCTCTTGTATGCATAGATAAATGCATAAATCTTTTTTTAATAGTATAAATATGGCCTCTGTAATATTTGGAACATACTTATATTACAAAAGTATTCTTTGTTTATCTGAAGTTCAAATTTAAGTGGGCATCCTGTATTTTACCTGGAAACCTCCTTCAGAGTATCTTTTCTGTACTATTCCAGAATCTGTTTTTTTGCTAAAGACCCTAAAGGAAAAAATCCACCTAGCTGCCTAAACCTGGTTTTGAATGCAAATTGAAAATTACCCATTCTTTCTCTCTACCTTTCTCCCATAACAGATTTTCATCTCCTCCAAATCAGATATCTGCCTAGAGTCAGCCAAGATGAAGGTTATATCCTTTGGAAAGCAAAGGAGAGAAGCACATTAAAATTTAAAAAATGGTTACCCAGTTCCAATAAGAAAAAATAGAGTAAGCAGTGCGAAGAGATTTCATGAATTTTTTATACTGGGCTCTCTCAACTTCTAGAACCTCAAGTTTACTATGACTCACACTTACCAAGACTTTAATAGGAGGTCAAGTTGAAAAGTAATGAAACTGATTTTCATGTGTGCTCTATGGAAATGATTCTCTGTGAGTCAACGATTACTGCTGCTCTCACCTCCCACGTGGCAAGGTGGATTCTTTACTCAATTGCCAATTTGTTCCTTTAGTGCAAAAAGGAAAAAGATTTTCAAACCTATCACATATCAATATACTGTAGAAAAATTGTATACAACTATTTCCTAATGTTACTTAAAATTATAAGTAATAGAATTGAAGCATAGCTTTGGCAAATTCTTTTAAACCAACTCCTAAGACCACTTACTTATCCAGATCTTACATAAAGAATAATTAGAACCAATGTCAATTTTTCCTGGACTGCCAGAAGAACCACAATGGGATATTGCCAAGCCTTAGAAAAATGGTACCTAACCAACTGATGTGCAGTTTAGAATACATTTCACTTCTTTGAACAAAGAGTGATTTATGTATTTGCTTACATTAAGCCTTTCCTTAGTTCCTCAAACATGTCCCTCCTGTTTGGAGGTTTCTGAATGTTATTGCTTCCTCTAATATCCTCTACCTTGTTTCACCTACTTAACTGCTTTAGATCTCTGCTCAATATCATTTCCTCAAGAAAAAGTCAGGGCCCTCCCTGGTGGTGCAACAAGAAGTGCAGCACTGTGAAGCTAGCCACAGCCACTTCAGTGCAAGTTGGATCCCAGGCCAGCCTGGGGAGTTGACCCACATGACATGGCAGACCTCTCCTGTCCCGCCCAATACTCCCCTCAGTAGTGTACTTCTTTGATCTGCATATTCTGCTCCCTACTCTGTCTCTGGTGAATCCTCTCACTGCCCTCTGGCCTTACTCCAGTTCTGTATGCATAAATAAAAAAAAATTTTTTTAAAAGATTTATTTATTTGTACATACAGAACTGGGGTACAGGCCAGAGGCTCAGGGGCGGTAAGAGGCTTCACCAGAGACAGAGTGGGTAGCAGAACAGGCAGATCGACGAAGTACACTGCTGAGGGGAGCAGCGGGCGAGTTGGGAGAGGTCTGCCAGGCCATGTGGTCACCTCCGGGGCAGGCGGGAATCGAACTCATGCGGAAGTGACTTTAGCTTCTCAGTGCAGTGCTTTAACCCGCTGCGCCACCAGGGAGGGCCCCTAAAAAAAAATTTTTTTTAAAGAAAAAGTCAGTTCCCTGACTACCCGAACCCCTCCCCACCACCCTACCACAGGCTAGACTATGCTCCTTTTTATGCTTTCCAAGGTCACAGTTTATAAGGATACAGTTGTGTGGGTTTGGCTAAAATCTATGGTTGTCTTCTTTAGTAATGGAAGTTTTAGATGGGTCCATGCCAGTCAGCAACCACATCTTCCAGCCTCTCTTGAAGTTAGGTGTGGCCATATAGTGAGAATCTGGCCAATGGGATACATTCAACTTCTGAGTGTAGCCCTTAGAAGGAAAGGATCATGCTTTCTTCTTTCCTTTGTTTCTACTTCTAACAGCCTGAAAGACAAATACATTGGTCTATGTTCTGTAACCTTGCAGGGATGATAGAATAGCAGGATGAAAAGGACTTGAGTTTCACTGTATCGTCAACAGACCAGCTTTCAACAAAGAGTCAAGGTTATTACTCGAGAAGGCATTAAACTTTAGATCTTGTTTTCTTGTTTAAGTCAGTGCATTGTGTCTCTCATTCAAGTAGCCTATATCCAATGGATGCAGGTTTGAACCATGGGCCACCTGACCCAAGAAGCCCTGAAGTACCACAAAGTTTGTCCAGATTGACCATCTCTTCTCTATCACACACCTTACTTCACATTCTACAGATCATGTGGAAGACCACTTTGACAAAAGTGAGTTTCATTTCCCAGATTTATGTTAGATCCTAGAGTGAATGGTAACTCCCACCAGTTTTTTCCATTTTTCTTTCTCACTAATTTTCATGTTCTTAACCTCTGAGAGATGCCTCTCCTAAGGTCCTTAAGATCCATCTTAATTTCTGTTATTGTAAATGTGTAATTTGACTTCCCAAATGCCAGGCAGCAGGTCTTTCCACGGTCACAGCCAGAAGGGGAGAAAGTCAACCATGATCAAGCATTTGAATCTCTTAGAGGTCAAACTGTTTAAGGTTTCTAAGTACTCAGCCAATAACATGAATGTTTCAGAGATAATGAAATCACAGCTAAAGAACAGTACCTTGATATGAGAAAGGAAATAGTGAATGTTTTTACACAGTGATTTCCATGCATATTTTATACGACGCCATATTTTACATAAATGCATTTCACAGTGCTTTTATTAGTTGCAACATTCCCCCCTCCCCTTTTGGGGTTTTCCCTTCCTTTCCACTTCTTCTTCCTCTCCTCCAATATCAGCCATTCCCACACCAATACATACACAGGCCAGATCACTAAAACATACACATGCATACTGCCATATTTTTCCCCATGCTCACAAAATCGTATATAGAGCTTTCCTTTTTTACTTCCCAAAAGAAATTTGCTATATAAAATTTTCTGCATCTTTCTCCTCTCACTCAACAATACCACATGGAAATTTTTCCAAGTCAATTTGGATCTAATTCAACCTTTTAATGATATTGGTATGTCATAAATTCAAATGTCAGCCTTGCCTTTGTTTCCAGCTTTTTGTCAACACAAATACTGCTGCAGTAGCATCCATGTACTTGTGTTTTTATAAACCAGTGGATTTTTTTCTCTGTGGGATCAACTCCCAGGTAGGGTTTGCTTTATCGAAAGGCATATGAATATTATCAAAAGTATTTTGAATTATAATTGCTTGCTTCCCTAAATCTATCCTCCCTCTTTCCTAATACTTAGCAATATCCTTTCTCTCTTTTATTTTCTATAATTAAAAGGCATTTATGTTAGATTTTACTTCATAGGCTAAAATATTAGCAAGTTATTTGTATTATTAATCTGTGGAAATACAACATGTATACATTTACATTGTACAAGTGTAAACTCTGGAAATCATTGTTTTAAGTGATTCAATAAAAAGGAACTCTTTTCTGCGCATCCCTGGTGGCTTAATAGGGTTAAGGCTCAGCACTATGAAGCTATCTCCAGCCACTGCAGCATGAGTTAGATCCCTGGCCAGAAGCTACCCTACATAGCACAGCAGACCTCTCCTGTCTTGCCTGCTGCTCCCTTTAGCACTGTATTTCAGTTGACCTGCCTGTTCTGCACCCCATTTTTTCTCTGGTAAATCCTGTGCTCTGCACCCCATTTTTTCTCTGGTAAATCCTCTCATATACACACCCCACTTCAGGCCTTTACCTCAGCTCTTGTATGCATAAATAGCTAGAATAATTCTTTAAAAAAGGAGAAGG